CGGCGAGGAAGGATCCACCAAACCAAGTTTCAGGTTCAATTCCTTAGAGCACAGCTAAGATACCCTAAATACAAACACGCGGGGATATACCTATACATATATATATATACAAAAATATGTGAATATGTATATGTATGTGCATATGTATATGTCTAATATGTATGTGTGTATATATATATATGTATATGTATATGTATATATATATATATATATATATATATATATATATATTCCAGATGGTGCTTGCATGCGCGCGTAAAAGAGTCACACCTACGTTCAAGCGCCCGCGGGCAGGGGGCGGGAGAGATAAGGATAGCGAGCGACGGACATCATGCCGTGCTCGGGGGAAAGAGCGGCGAGCCTGGTCCCTGGTCCGAAAACGGGCGCGCGAGTCAGCGCAGAAGCGGATGGGCGGGACCTCGAAGCAGCATGGCGTGATTCGTGAGCTTCTGAATAGAGCCACCAAACACATGCGTCCTGGCCCACATTGTCGATGGTTTGTTTCACAATCGCACTGGAACCCTCTTGGCCCCCTTTCTAGGTGGGACCCCTACTGCGGTCTCTCGGTGGGGCCAAAGAAAAAGTACCCAGGAGGTGCCCTGGTAGACCCCCGTTGGGCCCCCCTGAAGGCCCCGCCAGAGGGGCTCTTAGAGGAGCCCTCCCAGGGGGCCACGGGAAGACTGCGAACGGCCCAGTGTGTCCCAGGAAACCTGGGGACGGCCCAGAACTCCTCCGAGACAGCCCACAAGGGTTCTGAGACCGCCCTCGACAGCGCTCCCACGGCCCAAGAGGCTCCCACAAGCACCCAAGAGAGCACCAAGAAGCCTCCAACAGGCTCCCAAGCTCGTCCAAAAGAGCTCAAGCGGCCAACATTCTTAAACAACCTACAGGACATGTATGTTTGTGTATGGCGTTCTCGCATATTCGCCTCCGGTACGCTTCCGAGGCTTGCGCGTGACTCCCAAGGACGCCCCAAGATGCTCCCAAGAGGTGCCCCGAGCGCACCGAAGGGGCCTCAAGCGGCCACAAGAGACTCCCGTGACGCCCGGCGAAGCACAAACGAGATTCCAAACGCTCCGAAGAGGCTCCGAAGAGCACTCAGGAGAGGCTCACAAAAGGCCCAAGGAGCCTCCCAGGGGCCCCCAAGAGGACCCCAAGAGCCCCCAGGAGGTCCCCAGGAGGCCCCTAAGAAGCTTCGAGAGGCCCCAAGAGGCGCCCACAAGAGGCTCCAAGAGGGTTTTCAAGATGCATCAGGGAGCCCCCAGGAGACACCCATGAGCCATCCAAGATGGCGGTGAACCCGCTTCCTGCAGCACTAAGTGGTAGTAAGCCCAACTTTGAAAGCAAGGGAACTCTCACACATCCTCTGTTTCAAGTTCGACCCCCCTCCATTTGCTCCTGCGCCTGGCGCTGACGTGCCCCAGAATCTGTCTCCCCCATCCCTCGCTGCCCGTTCCCCCGTTGTCTCCCCTACTCTCCGTCTTCCTCCGTCTTCCATTCCGAACCTTTCTCCTCCTCCCTCTTGGGCTCGGAAGAAGGAGGACGGACGGAGGCGGGCACAGGAGACTCGAGGGACTATTCTTCAGTCGGGCGCGTCCCTCTACAGGAGGAATGCTCAAAAATAGCAGAGACATAGTCGGGTGACGACGTCTTGGGCATTCTTGGGCATTGCTTGCATATGTGTTTTGGCTATTTGCATTTTTTAGTCTGATTCGTCAGGTTGCCGCCAGGCCCATCCCGCGACCGCGCCTGGGTTGTGGGTCAGAGGCTGCTTGAGTGCCTGTTTGGGTCTCTTGGGATGCCTCTTTGGAGTCTCCTTGGAGGCAGTTTTGAACCATTCTTGGGCTTCTTGGGCCATCTGGGGGTCCTGAGCCCTCTGGGGCCGTCTTCACGCTCTCTTGGAGGTCTCTGGGAGGCGTCTTGGGCCGTCTTGTCGGAAACTGGAGCATATACATTACCATACATTACCAGTGGCGGGCGGTTTTTCAATCCCAGGACTTTTTTGAGGGTCAGGGACGACGTCGGGGTGGTGTGGTGCATACTTTTTTCCCCGCTTTCCTGGGGAGACAAAGAAGAATGTATACACCAGGATCCCGTATACACCAGGATCCGCTTCCATGTGCGAGATTCAGTGTGAGGCCAGACAAAGGTGTCGGTGTATAGAGTTCGGTTCCCTATCTTGGGCCGTCGGAAGCTACCGAAGACGGCAAAGATAAACCTTCCCTAAACATATAGAAAGCAGGAGCCTTATGCCCCCTCAGGGCCTCTTGAGGACGCGCCGGGGGCCTTCTTGGAGCGTATTGGAGGCTTGTTTGGTTTTGCGGAGGCCATCTTGGGCGGATCGTCTTCGGGCATTCTTAGACCTCGCTGACACGGTCTTGGGTTTATATTAGTCTGTCTTGGAGGCCTCTTGAGCTGATGCCTCTTTGAGGCCCTGGGGAGGTAGCATCACCACATCGGGGCATCCTAGAGTTACCCCATCCAGCCTAGCTAGAACTTGATCGCGCGCGCGCGAAGTGCGCGCGATGGTTCTAGTATTGATAATGTATACATATGTGTAAAACGTAGTACCCCCGATTTCGGCCAGAAAGGCTACCAACAACTAGCCACACTTTGTTGCGGCAACTTCGGGGCCTCCTTTGCATCAGAACAGTGAGCTTGATCTTACGTGTCCTCGGCCCCGTTGTTCACAACAGCGCGGCGGATTAAAAGCGAGAAACCAACACACAGGAGGGTTGGGAACACGGGGGATATTTGCTGTCGGTCGGTATGCCTTGCACCGTGTCTAGCCATTGGAAGGGACCGAGGCTGCCCAGACCCCATCGAGTCGGGGGAGGAGGGGAACAAACAAAACGCTACGGAAGTTGTTTTGGCTGTCGGTGGCTGTGCCTTCCGCAATTTTTTGCTGTTTGGTGGACAATCTCAGAGCATGGACCTGTGGTTGAAGATGTTTGCCTCCTCGCAAGGGACGCCACCTTCCAGTCTGGATTCAAGCGGATCCGAAATTGGCATCGCGGTGAGGAGGGGTGATAGCCAGAGACTGCTATACATCACCCCGTCGTAGGTCACGAGGTTGGGTCACCTTTTTGTCCGGCAAGATTATCCTTGAGGGTAAAGGGAACCGCCCATGCCCTAACTGTACAGCAGGGACCATCCTCCTCCTCCTCCTCCTCCTCCTGCTCATTTTCGTGCCGTGGCCGTTTTGGCTCAAGCATCTCGTGCCCGAATTCGTCAGCACTCTCGTGGCACAGGCACACCGCTGCTCACCACCAGCGACACGAGGGCATGAGGACCTCTGCAGCGGGCGTCGTGAGCGCGACGAAGCGCTGCAGCCATGCTGGTCTCTGCCTAAGGTTCTGGCACGGCGTGAGTGGCGTGGTGCACAGGGCGCTCGCTGTGCTGGTGGTCGTTCTAACTTTGAGCCTGATAGTAGCTGCCATCGCGGGCGGTGGCAAGGGGACCGTCAAGGAGTGCGAGGACAAGGTCGACGGTTTCGTGCGCATGAGGCATCTGGGCGCCGCGCAGGCGGCGGAAGCGCACCGCGGCATCTTCGCCGTGCAGGTCGTGGCCATTGCGGTCACCGCGCCACCCGCGTTCAGCTTGCTCGCTTTCGCGGCTTCGAGTCACATGCGCAGGGTTGCAGAGTACGCGGCCTGCCTGTGGTTGGAAGTGATGTCTTTCGCGGTGTACAGTTTGCTCCAATGCAACGGTCTGAACGGGGAGCCGTTCGCCGCGTTGAGTGGTTTCTTGATCCCCCTGAACATGGTATTATTCTATGTGCTGTTGCTGCGTCAGGTAAGGGCGTTGGAACGAAGTTCGTTTCTTGATCTCGGCTCCCGGCGCCTTCACCGAATGATAATGGCGATATTAATCTTCGGCACGTCCGCGTCCATCTGCAGCAGATTCGCGGGTGGACCTCCGGGCCATCCCACGCGAATCATAATGGGAATTCTCATATGGGTTACAGAGTTGTCGTTCTTGTTGGGGTTGGCCGTGTTCTTGCGCGCGTTCTGGCGTGTGCTGGCGATGGCGCGCGAGACGCAGCGGCGAGAGGTCTCCGCCGAGGGGGTCAAGAGCGTCCCTCGGGTTCTGCTGTTTCAGATGGTGGGATCATCCATGGCGGTCGTGAGCTTCTTCGTCGCCCTCATGATAAGAATGTGGGCATCGGATTTGTCTTGGCCAATATTGGGGTGTCCTGTGGACGAGAGGACGCCCGAGTTCTTGATCGCTGTGCAGTGTGTAAGCTTTGTCGACACCACGTTGAACGCCTTTGCCGCCCTTGCCCTTAGTGGAGCTTGCTTCGGGGCACTCCGCGGAGGCTTGTCCACGATCAGCTCGGCGCGTCAGCGCCACCGCAATTGGAAACAGTTCTCCGCGGAGTGGATCCCACACCCCGATATGGACTGGAACGCCAAAGTCGACGAGTTGGCCGGCAGAGGTTTCACGCTGCAGGCGCTGCTGGAGTTCTACTGTAGGCTGGGCAAGGACGTGATGCCGCACTTCGACCCTTCGAAGCACACCACGGAAGACGTGGTCCGCGGCGCCATCATTCCACTCTCAGCAGATAGCAAAACATCTATGGCCGAAATCATGATGGACCACCGCCCTGTGCTGCCCAACAAGATGGTGACTCACAACTTGGGGAACGTCTTTGCCGATTTGGTTGCGGCGATTGTGTCAGACGCTCTTTCCGAGGTGGAGTATTGCAAGGTGGCGGTCCTGCTCATTCACGACGTCGACACCCTCATGAGGTGGGTTGCCCAGTCAGAAGTTGGATCTCGAACGTACTGGGTGTGCGCGTTCTCGGTGAATCAGCACACCAGCATCTGCGCTGCAAATCTATGCTCAAGGCGTGACTCCGTGACGGGCGAAGTCTACCCCCCTTGCTCGTGCGGCCTGCCGAAAACGTTCACACCACTCCGCCTCTCGCGAACGACGGTCACTGCTTGCCTCCCAGGCGGCAAAGTTTGGCGTGCGAGACGAATAAGTTCGATCAATTGATGATGTCGCTGTCAGCTGGCAACGATACGTTCGCCCAGGTGATTGCAGTTGACAAGCACTTCGAGATCTTCAACCGAGCTTGGTGCATGGCCGAGATTGCTGCCGCCCACTCAGCAGGCATGTCTCAGTCTCTACAGCTGCCGTCCCTGGCCCACCTGGAGAAGCAGGGCGGACTCGTCGACCTGAAAATCAGCAGCGCGCAGGCCAGCATGCCAGAGGACAAGGAGGCGATCTTGGGCCGCATCCCAGACCACGACGCATTCGACCGCAGTCTTCGAGAGCTGGTGTTCGGGCAGCTGCTCCCGTCTTGGTCGAGACTCGACTCGTGCGACCAGATGCTGCAGGCGGGGCGAATCGCTCGCTGGCAGAGCGTCGTGCAAAAGCATTCCGCTGTGGCCTAGCACTTCGAAGTTGATGGTGACGACTTTGGCGACGAAAGAGGCTTGGCATCTGTGACAGGTCGAGCGCCGACATCACCACCTGCGCCACGCGTGTTCTACTGTCTTGCAGAGTAGCGAAGGGCGGATTTTGGCACACGCATTTCCGAAGTTTTCATCGCTGAAGCGGTTCAATATATGAAGCAAGTGTGTCGAGTGCATGAGCACTTGACTTCCGTCGTCCTCCCCCTCACCTCTCCCTCCTTCCCTCGTCCCTTCCCCTCCCCCCAAAGCATGCCTATTAACTCTGCGTCGAGCTTTCCTTGCGCCTGTTTTTTGTCTGAAGGCTGCCGCCTCACCGACACCAACTTATCAGGTGCTTATCCGAGCACGGCAGGAAGGCTTCAGGCGAGACATCCAGTCCTGAGCGTCGCCCTCCTGGACTCTTGATTCTCTGTTGCACCTCGGACTCTTCTCTATCTACAGAGCTGTGATTTTGCGATGACCATGATTCTGGCGGATCGCATCGCATCTCTGAGTTCCAACGGGGTGCCACCTGGGCGGCTGTTCTTTGGTTTTCGCTGGGATCCTGGGAGGTGGCAGTGGCTTGGCTTAGCGGTCGGTAGACTGGGCGAGGGGGCATATACTACAATAACGGGGGACCCGGCCCAGGGGCCCCGGGGCCACGACCACGATATATCGAATGTGGGGCCCATGGGGCCGGGCCCACCTCTGGGGGCCTCGGAGGCGCCCCGGAGAGCGGTCCGACGGGCGTCACGGCGTCCCAAGACAGTCGCGAACCACCCTCACGACTGCCTCCAGGGGTGTCCGACGGCCCACGAGGCGTCTCGAACGGCCCTTGAGGCGTTGAAGACGCCTGAAGACCGCTGCAGGAGGTCCCCCAAGAGGGCCCCGACAAGCAAGCATCCTCCCATCCCCGTTGTAAAACGTATCTTTTGGCATGTTCGCTTTTTGGTCCTCGTACCGTCCATGACGACCTCAGGGCGCAAGATCGCCCCAAGACGGCCCAAGAGACCCCCTCAGAGGGCCCCAAGACGACACAAGAGGGTCCGAGACGGTCCAAAGGCGCCCAAGACGGCCCAAACGGGGCCCCAAAGAGCCCCAAGGGGACCCATGATCTCCAACTGAAATTTCGAGCCCCCCGCCCCAAGAGGACCCCCGAGGTCCCCAAGAAGCCCCCAAGAGGCCCCCAAGAGGCCCCAAGAGGCCCAAAGACGCCCGCGAGAGGCCCCAAGAGGCCCCCACGGGGCCCTCAAGAGGCCTCCAAGTGGCCCCAGGAGGCCCCAAGGAGGCCCCCAGGAGACCTCCAAGAGGCCCCAACGGACCTCTGAGAGACATCCCAAGAAACCCTAATATGATAAAGGCCTCTGATCCACAACCTAGGCTCGTTCCTGGGGCGCCGCCTGATCGGCACAGGTGTTGTGTGTGTCTATATGTGTGTATATATATATATATATACGTACGCATGTACATATGCATTCACGGTTGTATGTCTGTGCTCATGTATGTGCGCATGTAAGCGGAAAGAGGAACCACTTGGCCTGGCGAAGGGCCCACCCCTATGCAGCTGCGTGTAGCGCAGGGCGCGGCTCTCTCTCTTCGAATGCTGCGCGCCTCGGGGCAGACCGGATAAGGGGGTCGCTGCGGGCTTAGCGCGCATAGGCACGCTGAGCCCCCTGTGGGGCGCCTCTGCGCGACCGCGCCCACTGAGGCCATAGGTGGAGCTCCTTGTCGAGCGCGACCCGCATGTAGCGGATCGCGCTCGCCACACGCCGATCTTCAGTCGGCGCATCTGACTTCGCCAGCTGGGCGACGTACATCTAAGGGCATGGTCCTGACTATCTCGCGTGTTGGCTCGCTGTCCGGGTGTTACTCCGTTTCAGGCAGTGGTGGTAGGCGATGGGCGTAGTGGAGGGAAGGACTCTTTGTGATTTCCCAACGCTGCTTCTTCCTCGCCAACAGTATATCCACTGCCACCATGCTGTGAGCCATACACGACAGAGGGACAAGCGTGACTCCCGGTTTGGGGATTACCGTCGTCATCAAGCCATGTCAGATGGGCCTTTGCATGGAGAGCGCGAAGGGCAGCATGTGCTTTGTATGAAATGGTAGGGTTCGGTACCCAGACGGGGGGCCAGCGTCATCGTTCTGTTGTATATAGTGGCTTTGGGCCTGTCCCGCCACGGAGCTTGGGTCTTCACTTTTTGCTCCTGTGTTCCCGCCTCGGAAGATGTCCAGAGGTGGTAGGGCAAGCTTCATCGTGTCATAGGATTTGTCGTTTTGGGTTCATCCCGCCTTCGTACTTGGGTTCTTGCCCAGAGCGGCAGCACGTGGCGAACGCCATCAACGGTCGTCCTTCCTTGCTTGCACGCTCGCTTATTGCGCGACGTGTCGCGGCGTCCTTCCTGCATCGTCTGGTCGCAATGGCGCTCGCGGGGGGGGGGGGGGGCGTGCGGACGCCATGCGAATTTGCCCACTTCAGGTTTTTCAATGTTTCCGAGGCCCTCCACTTTTCGAGTTTCTGACGATCCAAGACGGCCCAGGAGGCCCCCAAGACCGCCCCAGGATGGGCCAAGAGGCCCCCAGGAAGGCCCCGGGACGGCCTGAAATGGCCCCAGGACGGCCCCAGGCGCCAACGTCGGCCCAAGAGGCCCTGAAGGCGGCCCCCAAGATGGGCTCAAGAGGGGAGCAGGAACCCGAGATTTGAGCGCTCCGTCCCAAGAGGCTCACAGGAGGCCCCTAAGAAGGCCCCCAGAGGCTGCCGCACGGCCCCAAGCGGCCCCCGAGGGGCCGCCCACGCCGCCCCCCCAGAAGGCCCCAGCAGCGGCCCCCAAGGGGCCCAACGGCGGCCCCCAGGAGGCCTCCGCAGGCTTTTTTGACCCTTGTGGGCCCAACAGCGGCCCCCCCCGAACACCCTACAAGCTTGTTTGACCCACCACCCAGGCGTGGTGGCGCGCGGGCCGAGGGCCATTCCAGCCTCTTTCGCGCACCCCCTGCGCTCCTCCTCGCATTCTCTGCGCCGTGGACTTCCCCCAGCTCCCGCCGTTCTTTTATGGTCGCGACCCCCCTTCCCCCGTCTCGCGTCCCAGCTTCGCCATCATCATTGTCTTCGCCCTGGGGAGGGGATCGACTTAATTTTGAGTCGGGCACGTCCCTCTACAGGAGGAGTGTTCAAAAATAGTAAAAACAAATCGTCTGGGGTGTTGACTATTTTTTATTGTCCCTCCAAAATTAGCCTGTAGGGGGACATGCCCGACCTAAACTTAATTGCGACGTTACTTCTCCTCAGTTCTCAATCTTCTTGGGATTGGTGATGACGACGACGACGAAAACGGACAAGCGTCTTGCACACGCCGAGGGGTCGGCGGATTGTAGTGAGCGCTGCGAGGGTCCATCCCCGGCGTTCACATGTCGCGAGTGTGCGTTGCGTAGACGGGAAAAAAAAGGCTCCTCCTTCCGTCTCCTCCACCTCTCCGAGGCCCGAAGACCATCACTTCACCAGTTTTGGGCCCCGGGGCGGCCCTGAGGCCCCAGGGGCCCCAGATTAGTGAAGTGATGTTTTTTCCTACGTAGAGAGAGAGAGAGGGAGAGAGAGAGAGCGAGCCGTGCACGTCCAGAGTGATGTTTTTTCCTACGTAAGGACCCCGAAATTCATCGCCTCACCAAACCGAGCCCAGGACGAAAGCCAGGGGCCGAATTGCTGCCGTGATGCCACATCCGTCGCCTCCACCTCCACCTCCTCGCCTCGCCGCCCCAGCTCTGCCGGGCCGCCCGCGCGCCGAGGGCTCTCTCCCCAGAGTGCAGCACTGGTCACCACGGCCACGCGGCGACGCGTGCGGGCTGTGACGCCTTTCGACATCCTAGCGGACTGAGGCCACTGGTCACCACGGCTACACCCTAGGCGATGCTTAAGAAAACTTACGTTTTCGGCCAGAGTCTCGATGATTCTTCATGTTTCAATGTGAATCCCAAGATTTTATGATGGAACTTGTGGTTTTTTATTCAACTTCTGAGACTACGAATTTCTTGACCCATGATTTTTAAAGCATTTCGCAGGGTGTACGCGGCGAAGCGTCCGGGCTGTGACGTCTTTCGACATTCTAACGGACTCAGGCCACTGGGAGTTGCATCAAGTCGGGCCCGTCCCTCTAAAGGGGGAACATTCAACAATAGTCAAACAATAGTCTGGGGATGATATTTTCAGTATTTTTGGACCGGTTTGGAATATGTTTTGAGTATTTTTCATGTTTCGTCGAAAATCCCCCTGTAGGGAGACACGCCCGACTTGGGAGTTGCAGCCATCGCATACGAGGCTGCACAGCCAAAGGCTCATGCTCGGCAGCATGCCGTCTCGCGCCCCAGTGCGGGGGCAGCCCAGGCGACAGGGAGGCCCCAGCAAGGGATTCACACTTTAAGTCGGGCCTTGTCCCTCTACAGGAAGGGTGTTCCCAAATCGTAAAACAATAGTCTGGGGGCGTTTTTTTGTATGGCTGAGTTTTTTTAAGTTGTTTATGTTGACTGTTTTTATGTTTTCGCCCAAGCTCCGCCTGTAGGGGGGACATGCCCGACCTGAGATTTACACAGGACATTATCTTCTCTGT